AAAAATAATGGAAAAGGAAGAAAACGAAAAAGATGAGTAAATAAATGAGTAGGTAATATTGAAGCGCAAATAGTAGAACGTAAATAACCGTAAAAAGAGCTCGTTCGGGAATTTACTCACTGACGATAACGTACATACGTATGTTTTTGTCAATGCGCTAGTTCCCTTCCAAAGTAATCGAAAGAAAACTCTCCTTGAATGTCCGTTCGTGTGTGTAAAATGTCTACGTGAACGAAAGATTTACGGATAATGAGATTTATCGAATAAACATTGTCCTATGGTTTTTCTTCCTGATGAATGTTACTACCGAACAATGGATTATTCGAACGTACCAAGAGCTTTCCTTCGAATTAGAACATTTTTCTAATCGTTTTATGACAGTCTGTTTTTTTTTCTTTTTTTTTACGTCGTATTTCAATGTATATTCGGATCAGAAATTTTTTAAATAATTCTTTCGCTGCATATACATTTTTCGTATTATCAATTTTATTTGTATCGTTCAATTTTATTAGAAATATTTCTCAAATATTTCTAATTATTGTAAAAAGAAAAGTTTTTATTTCAAATCGCAATAATATAATCCTCGATATGATATATATATATATATATATATATATATATATATATATATATATTTTAATTTTTCTACATTGTAATTACGATCTATAGATCGTACCAAACTGTTTCATGATAATCGTCCTTCGTTAGAAAACTTCAAGGTTTAAAACAAGATAGGGTAAGTTTGAGTGAGAAGAATAAAAAAAAAGTCAATTCTAAAAGGAGGAAATCAGCACGGAAGACAGAACTTTTCATTAGCTTAACTATCACTCTGGTACTCTTAGCCTTGCACTTATGAGAAATTATTACTTATTCAAAGATACGTGAGTACTTTTCAAAAGGAATAAAAGAGACGATTAATAATTTATATGTGGTTCTTATAAGAGAAATAAAATGAAATGAGATACTTGTCCTCTTGTCCTATCTCATGTAATCGCATATTATCTGATTTAATCTATTCATATATACATTAAATATACATTTTTTTTTCTTTTTTTTTTTTTTTATACGTTATTTTATTCAATCTATGTACTTGAATCTGTGTAACATTCGATATATATATATATATATATATATATATGTTCTATTCATATAAATTTTATTAAGGAAAGTTTTTATTTAAATTGAGATAAAATTGCAACGTTTTTCCTTGAATAAATGGTACAATTCGATTTATACAATTTACTTGGAAAATGCAATTTTCTTACGAATGAAAAAAAAAAGAAAAAAAAAAAAATAAATAAATAAAACAATAAGACGTCCAATGTATAATTTTTGTATACGCCTACGTTAGGATTACTGTTCTTTGCATATAAACATCCAGGGGAAGGGAATTTGATTTTCGAAGAAAAAATTCCTTATTCTATACGGCATATCGAATAAAGTGTCTCTATCGGTTTTCAATCTCGAAGTGTAGTACGATTACGTCGATAAATCGATATGCCGATATGTAGGTATCCATACTAGGATAACAATTTCAACGAGGAAATATCTGGATAAAAGTCGTTCTAGCACAAAACGTTCTACGTTTCTATATATGTACGTATGTACGTATATATGTATATATATATATACCATTTATGTATTTACTATGTATGTATGTATATACTATGAACATACTGGATACATCCAATAGAATCTTGAACGTCAGCAGGATCCGCTAAAGTTTACGAGTTCGACGAACAGGATTTCGTCGATTCGCCTATAATAACTTAGAACGATGTCTAAAACGAGTAAATGTCTCCACAATCACCTTGTTCATTCTTGACAAACCACGTGTTATATAGCCAAGTAAGTGTAAGATTGGGTCATTAACCTATTTTAGTCAGAATACGTTGGATGGTCACGCGAACTTTTTGTCTGTAAGAATGCATGAATGTCTTTTCAATATTACACACTCTTATCAATGACTTATACATAAATTACACGTTAAATCGAATAATATTAAGAAGGATGAACGAATGAGAAAAAAAAAAAAAAAAAAAAGAAAAAAAAAAAAAAAACTGTCTAAGCTCTTGTAGTTTTACAATCTGTAAAAAAAAAAAAAAAAAAAAAAAAGGAAAGTTAGTTTAAAAACTCTAGAAAAAAAAAGTGATTCATTTTTAAAATCATCTAGGGACATTGATTTTCATAAAGCATATTCATTTTTTTAATCAATTATTCGAATTTATTTGAAATGTTTCAAAGTAATGGAGCTTGTTTTTTTTTTGTCTTCTTTCTTTATCGAATCCAATATTCGACAGAGGAATATTAACAAATCCGATCGAGCTATTTTCGTTTATAACATTTTTGTGTTATCGTTCGTCCAATTTCAACATCAATAAGTAATTGAAATCAGTGCACGTGCATCAAAATCGCAAACGCAATTACTCTCATGTCAATACATTTTCGAGATGCATCTATATACATGTATGTATATGTGTGTATCTATATATCTATATATATATATATATATATATATGGTCATCACTATATGCAATCCCCTTTGCAAATAAACTTTATGTTTTTGGATACATCGTTGATGGAAATTTTGAAACTCTGCTATATATCTATATATGGTGTCTGACGTGAAATATGGCATACAAAATACTTTTTTTACATGATTTTCTTCGGATAGATAAATGAATACGTATTGAGATGTGATCGATAGATCGAGAAGGAAGAGTTCCTACGGTGGGGTGGTGGGATGAATCATCAAAACGTTTTCTCTCTCGAAAAGAAAAAAAAAGAAAAAAACAGTCCTATACGAGCGTGTAGAAGAGCTCACCCGTACTATTTATCTCACGAGATGATCGCATTAAGATTGCGTTACGTCGTAATTCACCGGATCGTAAAAATATTAAAGTTTTGTTACGATCGGTAAAATTTTAAAAAACAAATAAAGAAAATTTCAAAGAAGAAATTTCGTATTAGCATGATAATTAAAACATTGTATTTATACCAAAAAGGTTTTGAAGATATCTCGATAATAATATCTCAAGAATGAATTTCAAGATTTTTATCGTCATTTTTTTTCTTTCATATATTTCTCTGAAAGTTTTTTTATATATAATGAGTTTCCATGATATTCTAAGTATGTATATGTGTGTATATATATATATATATATATATATATATATATATATATATATGATTTAATAGATACTTTATCACACATTTGCAATATACAACGTAGTTCAATAATTATGAACATAAATTTAAATATGTTAGATAAAAAGTTCGCTTAATAAAACTTGGATTAAACTTTCATAGTTTCTAAAATATTGTAATATTATTGTAGCATCTTATTCATAAAAAAAAAATTTATTTATCATATACCAAAGTTTGTTTTAGAAAATTTAAACAGTTCTAACAGTTTCTCTGAAATTAATTAAATCGTTAATAATTATTGGATCATCCTATATAATACAGCTCAAATGATAATTTAAATTCGTCAAATAAAATCCCATATTTATAATATATGGAACGATCGAATAATTACGATATTACTCTGAAATATTTATTATATAATTAAATAAAAATTTGCTCGAAGTAAAACTTGAAACTAACTCTCGTAATTTTTAAAATAGCCAAAGACCATTGGATCATTTTTTATGCAATAAGATTTGGATATTATAAAATAAGAAATTACTTAACAAAATTAGAATTTAACTCGCATAATTTCTGAAAGATTCAAAAATGATTAACCCATCCTTTAAATTGCATGATATAATACATATATATATATATAAAATATATACATAAAACATAATATCTACATACTCATTAAGTTAATAATTAGTATCGTTGAAAAATAATACCTTTCAATTAGACGTCCATCGGAGTGTTTAATTTATAATACGTAAGTGTAGGTCTCTGTCTAAAATTACAAAGCTAAATTAACGCATCCTGTTGATCACGAAGCTTGACGAGCATGCCACGAACTGTGAACCGTGCCGTCGTTTATTATATCGACATTCTGTCATACATGACAGAGCTAAGGCCCGTTTGAACGAGACACGCCGACTTCAGACACCCTATATATTCCCATACCTTTCCTTCTTTCTTCAACGACCTTCGGACTTTTTCGACTTTTATTATTCCTTTACTTCTTATTCTTTCCGAGATATTTTTCTTTAAGATTGACTTATATATTACTTACCGTACCTTATTACTATTCTTTCACCAATACTTTTCTCCTTACATTAATGCATATATGAATGAACGCAAACATACATACATTTAGAAGTCTATATATCAAATATATATTGGATTGACCAATAAATATTAGAATTTTCCATCTAAATATACAACACTATATATTCGATATTTTTTGCAACAAATTTCAAGATTGCTTATTGATCAACTCAATATATATATATATTATCAGATATACATACGAAAAGCTAAGTTAACAAAATGAATAAGCAAAAAAATTTCGGTCATTCTCTTCTTCAAAGAATTATATCGATTAACCTCGTACGAATATTATCGTGTATATATTAATCATATTATTCTTCTTCTTCTCCTTCAATAAACAGGTTAAAACGAACGATCAATAGTTTCGATTACGATCTATCATAGTCGCCATTTCTAAGAACACTTAGCAAAAACGATAAAACGAAACGATTCGTCCTTGTGATTTATACAAGTTCTCCTTCTCTTCTTTCTCTTTTTCTCTTTCTCTTTCTCTCTCTCTCTCTCTCTCTCTCTCTCCCCCCCTCTCTCTCCTTTATCAAATAACATCTCAATAATAAATAATAAATAAGACGAGCTGTAAAAGTCAAAAGAAAAAAAAGAAAAGTTGGAGCAGACGGAACGGTAAGATGGTGGGGGTAGTAATCTAGACGCAAGCCAGACTTAACCTCTCTCAACGAAGAAATTGCATGTTCGCGATGAAAAGATATAAAAATAATGAAATCAAGAAGAGAAAGAAAGAAACAGAAAGAGAAAGAGAGAGAGAGAGAGAGAGAGAAAGAGAGTAAGGGGCGGAGAAAGAGAGAAAATAAAAGAAATAGAAAAAAAGAAAGACGAAGTAACTCACCTCCATTCTTGACATCCTCCTTCGCTTCCTCAGCAGCTGGCTGGACGCTTTCCTTGCTCGTGTTGCAGCCCATTTTCTTCTTTTTCTTCTTTCTTTTATCTCTCTCTATCTCTCTCTCTCTCTCTCTCTCCTTCTCTTCTCCTCCTTTTTTTCACCCTTCGAATTATTCTTTTCCTTTTCGTCCACCACCAACCACCACCTCCTCCACCACTATCTCCACCACCTCCTCCTTCTTTTCCTCCTCCTCTCTTTCGACCGACTACCGGCGACACTCCCCGTTTCACGACTGTACTCTCCCCCTTTATCCCTTGACTATACTCGTCAAATCGGCTCACCAGTTAACATCCATGATATAATAATAATATATATAAAATAATAATAATAATATGTTTTATTAAAATTACCTAAAAATTTTATTATATATCCGATAAATATAAATCTACGTTGTGAGATAACCTAAAAAAAAAAGTTGATCGGACCGAATCGCGAAACTGTGTAGTGTATTCAGTCAGGAAGACGACGACGACGAGAACGAATGACGATAACGACGACTAATGTGACGATGTGATGCGACGATGTGATGCGAACGAACGTACCTCCTTTCCCCCCCTTTCTTCTCCTTTCTCCTTGTCGAACAATACTCAATAATCTTTCGTCACGATATTGTTTTTCTTTTTTATTCCACTCCTTTCGTTCGTCCTCGAAGGTCAATGGCCACGACGCGGCGTGTGCTTACTTATCATCCCTTATTACTTACTCTCCTCTTCACGTATCCTTCTCTTTCTTGTTACTTTATTTTATTTTTTTCTTTTGTTTTCTCTTCTTTCTTTCTTTTTTTTTTTTTTTTTTTTTTTTATTCGCTTCGAGGACACTTCAGAACCTGTCTTCTTTTTTCCTCCTTCGACCCTAACACATTGCTTATCTCTTTATCGCACCTCTTTTTTTTTGTTTTTTTCTTTTATCTTACTCAAGGGCTATACGGTCAAGCTATAGGAAGAATAGGAGAGACAGGATCGGCTCCAACATACTCGAAGAGGGGAAGGTACGTTGATTCCACCGGCACGAGACCCAGCACGAGTAGCTGAAGATATATATATATATATATAATATACGTGTGTGCGTATGTCTGTCTTTCTGTGTATATGTAAGAGAGAGAGAGAGAATAGAATTTTCACGAGCAACCCCCGAAAGCACGAAGGACTCACGTCGACGACACGGGGCGTACTGACGACGTTCTCTGCCGACGACCCTGCCCTTCGTTGCACGAATACTCTACTACACTACTACTATTATTACTACTACCACCACCACTAAAAGCTCCGATTCGTCCTACAGGCTTACTCAAAAGTTATAACCTCCTACGTGATATGCGCCAACGGGTTTGCGCTCATCTCTCTCTCTCTCTCTCTCTCTTCTCTCTCTCTCTCTCTCTCTCTCTTCTCTCTCTCTCTCTCTCTCTCTTCCTCTAACTTATACTCGTTCTTACTCTGTCATTTTCTATCTCTTTCTTTTCTATTACACGCACGTACACACACGCGCGCACACACACATTTCTATATACATCGTGCTTTTTCCCCCATATCCGTTAATAGTGGCGCCATCTTTATCACTGTAAAGTTTTCTTCAGATTCTTTTCTTTTTTATCCTTCTTTTTTTTTTTTCCTTTTCACTTTTTCTACTTCGATCTTTTATAATCATTTCTAAAACTTTCCTACATATATTTTTATATAGAATAAATGAGCGACATGATTGTAAAGCGATAGAGAAATATAATGGATATGATAAGATGAAGATTAATTATAAATGGTTTTAATTGTTGTTAATAAAATTTAAATCTTTGATACATCGTATATATTGTTTATAATTCGTTAATTTATTTTAAATTTTATGTTTCAATAATATTTTGCGTATTAGAAAGACGTTGATCCTTCGAAACACATGTTTCGTAATCGTTTTAATTCTCTTATTTTATTTTTTCTTTCTTTTTTTTTTACTTTATAACCTGAAATCTATTGTTATAAAAAATAAGAACGAATGATAGCAAAGGAGAAACAAAGAACTTTGTGTATTTAGAATTTACAATGATTACTTATCTGAAAAGGAGCTGTGTAATATCAACAAATTTATTAATCGATAGTGCGTTCTGACCCTTATCATTTCGATTCATTATATTAAATGCATCCAATCATGAAGTCCACAAATTACAATTAATGGAAATGAATGGAATTATTAATAATCCTGTGTTAATTATGTATAACGATAATTATTATGATGCCTATAATAGAAATTATTATAACAACGTTATTTAAAATAAGTTATAACCTTTATTACCGTCATATTTATGTAAATTAAAATAATATGTAATCAAACATACAATATATATATATATATATATTGTATTGGTCAATAAGTAATGTCGGAATTTTTAATAAACAAAATATTGTATACGAAATAATATTATTTATTTCGATATAAAATACCATTGTTTTTTTTTATATATAAAATATAATACTGTGTTATTTATTTAAATATAAATTACTAAACATTTTCAATAAAAAATATTATTCAATTATTATTATTATTCAATTATTATTATCAAATAAAAATATTTATAATAGTATTATTTAATTTAGAATATAAACTATTGAAAATTTCTAACATTATTTACTTATCAATCCAATATATATATATATATATATATATATATATATATATATATATATACGTATATATAATCCTTATATAAAATAAGAATTAAACTGTTTCAAATAAAAATTTAATGGAAAGATCTTTTTAACCTATAATTCGTCAGAAGCTTTGTTATTGGCTAGACTGCTAGACTATTGCCAGACGGGCGCCAGTTCCTTCGTATACTTCACATTTTCTGGAACGAATATCGACCTCTCCTCGTCCTGATTATTCCTCGCGATTCTTTATCACGCATGTTTTACTTTTCTCCTTCTATATGCGCTATATATAATGTTACTTTAAAAAAGCTTTTTTTTCTTACACATTATTTTTTAATTTCGTTTAAAACAAAACTTTTATAATACACTTTATCGTATATAAATAAATAATTTATATCACATAAATATATAATGAATATATAACATAATATAATATTAATCTAATTCTTATCTATTATTAAAACAAAACAATGAGAAGTTCAGTGATTCGAAATAATCATTTGCTTATGACACTTTAATTAAATCTCTTTGCCTCGTATAACTCGAAAATAATCGTAAAATTATTTTTCATGGTTACCAAAATAACGAATATAATCTTTGAATATATACGATCCTTACGTTGCATTTAATTTGCAAACAATGCAAATTTCATCATTTGCAGCAATAGTTAGGTAGTTCTCTTCGTGAATAAAAAAAAAAAAAAAAAAAAAAAAAGAAAAAAGAAAGAAGAAACATAAAAGAAAGAAAGAAAGAAAGAAAAAAATAGACAGAAAAAAAGAATAAGAAAAAATTATTTAAAAAGAATTTTATGATTAAATTTTAAACATTTTCAAAAACGAACAACAGTGAAACATCTTATGTGAATAAAATAAAGAGTTATTAAAAAAAAAAAAAAAAAAAAAAGAGAAAAGAAAAAAAAAAGAAAGAAAGAAAGACAGAGGAAAAGAAAAAAAAATGAAAATATCTATCAAGTTAAAATCATGCAATCGGATTCGTTGAAACTCGATCGGGCTCGGATTCGCCTGAAGGGAACGATCGGCTCGCTGATTGGTTGAAAACTATGATCGTGAACAGGTAGGGAGCGAAAGTGAGCTACAACAGCGAGTACCAAGAATGGGCAGGAGTGCGTGTTGTGTGCTGTACGAGAGTGTCACGAGTTGGGTCCGTAGCCAGAGAGTTTCAATATCGTCACAGATTTCCAACGAACGTGCATACAAGTTCCTTTCATTTATCGTGTGAGATCAAAAGAGAAAGAAAGAAAGAGAGAGAGAAAGAGAAAGAATAACACAATATTTAACAACAATGTCGGCCATTTTGAAAATAATTTCATTGAATTTACATTTACCAAAAGAAAAATAAAACAATGTGAATTACTCTAGAAGAAAAAAAATTATCAGAAAAAAGAGAGAAAGAATTAAACGTGGGCAAGGTTATGGGCGTGCTCGGAGGATTCCTATTCAGTGGTTCTCATTTCTTCGTCATTTTGTTATATATCAAAGAAGCTTATATCTTCATACCAGTTTATTTCGATGTCGTTGATTCTTGATCGATATAACGTGGAAATAGTTGTGACGTAACGCCTGTGTGTGTGTTTCGTCCCTCGAAGATATATCTATCTATCTATCTATCTCTCTTTTTCTTCCTCTCTCTTTTTATACATATATATAAGGAAAAAGGAAACGCGATAAGAAGGATGACGCGTAAATTGAGCAAGTTCTTAATACTCTTCGACAATACCAATCTACTTTACTTTCCTGGTCATTTTTTATCCGGTCGTGTGCTTATCGAGCTTGACGATGAGGCATAGTAAGTTATACCATATATGTATATGTTTCACTTTCTATTACTACGCATGGTTTTCTATAATAAATTTAAAAATCATGAGAAAAACAATATGGCGTTGTTCTCAACTTCGATTTGATCGTCGATTTTTTTTTAACACCGGGACTATCAAATACTTCATTTCATTTTTTTTTCTTTTTCTTTTTTTTTTTTTTTTTTTTTCTGGTAATAATATCAAATATCTAAAAGCACAAACTATTTTTTTCTTTATTTATTACGTGTGTTGTAATAAATTATGATTGTTTTTAAAGTACACGTCAAATTGATTGGTTGTATATCTATTGTTAATAAAGATACTAATACATTTTCATACATCATGTTTTATGTATTTATGTATGTAAATAAAGTGCAAAGCGAACGATTGGTCGATCGTTCGTCGCGTCGAAGTATAATGCGACTTTCTTGTAACATTAAAATGCCTTTGGCGTTTTCCAAAACTTTTTTAAAAATCCAGCACGCGTTCCATCGATACGTTTGTATGTACAACAACGGTTTAAAAAACATAGAAAACGTCTTTGGCATTTTAATTGAATATATTCAGTCGAATATTTGTGTTTCATCGAAAGATAGGTTGAAAGGTCCTTCCTTCTTCAAATTCTATTGCGCCTTTACGATACTTAGCAATGTCGTCCTTTGATCGAATAATACAAGACTTATTTAATTCTTTTTTTCTTTTTTTCTTTTTTTCTTCCTCTTTTCTTTTTTTATCGAGCTATCTAATAACAAAGGAATATAATATATGCATTTACGAAACGTATTAACATATGTATATTTGCATAAGTATACAGTGACGTCACACTCCGTGATATTATTTATTTAATAATAAAAAAAATTTATATATACATACATACATACATACATATATATATATCGAAACGTTACACTGCTATAATTCAATTTAATAAGATAAGAATAATATAAGAAATGTATATATATGTAAAATGTGTACTATATCATATACGAGGATGTACTTGTTATAATAATAATTATTATGAAATAACAACGGAAACGGAAAGGAGCGTGAACTTGATTTCGTATGACATAAAATTGTTTTTTCCCTGTTTCCGGAATTTCTCATTCAGTAAAGGAGGCATAAAAGTACCGACGACGACGGCATATTATGCCAACGTTCGTACAAGATATGCTTCCTTTATAATTTACGGTACAATAAACTCGACGACGCATTGTACGTATTTGCATACATACAAATACGAGGTTTCTTAATAACATACTCTATATATATATCTCTCTCTCCCTTTCTTACTTTCTCATTGCGTTATTTCAGCGTCTCTGGACTGCATTTTCACGTTGTTGGCGAAGGAGTCGTTCGTGTTCGTAGTCAACGTGCTGAAAGGGTTTACGATAAAGAGAACTATATAGATTTTCGAATGAGACTTCTCGGCGAACCGGGTAATTCTATTTATTTCTATCAGTCAGCCCTCCCCCCTGCTCCCACCCAAAAAAAGAAAAAAAAGAGAAGAAAAGAAAAAAAAAACAAAAATAAATAAAATCATTGATACCACTTTATCGGATATCTTTTTTTAAAGTTCATCGAAAGAATCTAAAGAAAAAAAAAATTAGATTTTTAAGCAGTTAAAATATTTATAATATCGAGTTTATAATAATGATAATAATAATAATAATAATAATAATAATAATAATAATAATAATAATAAAATTATACAACAAAATTTGGATTCATTAACATTATCGTTAAATATTCATTGTTTACGATAAAATGCTCTGGATTTTTTCTTTTTTTTTTTTTTTTTTTTTTTTAAGCTCTTTCTAAAATTGAAAATGTATTAATTATTATTTCTTGTTTGATATTCAGGCGAAGGACCGTCGCTTCTATCACCGGGGATTCACAGTTTTCCTTTCAAATTGGGTTTACCTTTAGGCTTACCATCAACCTTCTTAGGCAAACATGGCTGGGTTCAATATTATTGCAAAGCTGCATTACGAGAACCAGGTGGATTGACCCATAAAAATCAACAGGTTTTCATCGTTATGAATCCAATCGATTTGAATCTCGAGCCACCGATTTTAGCGGTTAGTTAGTTATCTTGTTTGAAGATATTTTCGTTTATATCGATTAGATAAATATAAAACAAAATTATACGATAAGCTTCGTCATAGAAACTTTAATTTAATGTTATTTTCTCTTTGCTGTAAAGTCATTCTGATATATGATTTATGCTCTTAATAACAGGAAAAACTTGAATATTTTCTTCGAAAGAGGGTCGACAGCCTCGTAACATTAAATATACGCTTTCTTTCGCGTGTTTAAGATTAAACGAATCCTCCGAAGCGTATTAACATAACCGAGTTTCAAATACTGGTCATTGACCTTTATGGAAAGTTATTATAAACAAGTAAATACGACTATTTTCGTATTACAATGGTCAAAAGGATATTTTAGAAATTAAACTTATTTGAGTCAGGCCCAAAATAAGAAGTTATGTAAAAAGATCAAATTCAAATTGATTTTATTATTTATTTATGCACAAATCTATTCACTCGTATCGTTAGATTTTATTCTGAAAATATGTTAAGGGAATCATCCAAATAAAAATTCGATTCGAGAATGTAGTACATATATACGAATATATATATATATATCGATAAATGAAAAGGGAACGGCAGTTTTCGTTTATGTTCCAGCGACAATAATACATAAGTAGCAGCAATATGAGATAATAGTTACGTAGGCACGTGACATTGAGAATGAAATGTAGCCGCATTATTGCTACTGTTATGTATTTTCTCGTTACGGTCGACTCGTTTGATCCTCGAGCGCTCTCTCTAGTTGTGCAACTATAATGAACTTTCAAAATATTCCGCCATAAGGTCGTACTAGTGTTACCAACCTACGAGTTCTCAATATTCTAGTAACATAAAGGAATGTAGTAATATATATATATATTTTTTTTTCGTATGGTTTTAGCAACCAGCGAGGCAAGAGATCGAACAACGCGTTGGTGTATCATGTGTCTCGAGTGGTCCGGTTTTATGTCGAGTAAGTTTAGATCGTGGCGGATATGTACCTGGTGAAACCATCGGAATCTCTGCTACCGTCAATAATCATAGCAAGGTACGTGAGTATATAATTATTTCAATATTTTTATTCTCAATGATAAAATAACGGCATTTTTATGCTTCCTGCGCACATGATGAAAATGAACTCTCTCCATGATCGAAATTATTATCATGATTACAACAAAATTCTGATGATATTTATTTAACCATTAAAATGGTTTTTGTTTCGCACGTTATTGACGTATTTTTTTTTTCTTTCCTTTTATTTTTTTTTTAATACAATTATTAAACGATTCTACAGGTTACGATGAAATCGACGAAAGCATCTCTGACCGAAACGATTCAATATCTATGTCGTGGTAAAGTACTTGCGAGTGAAACTCGAGAACTAGCTAGCGTTTCAAGGGGAAAAATTCGACCAGGCGAAGGCGAAGAATGGTTGAACGAACAAATGTACGTTCCACCATTACCACCCACTAATCTGAGAGGGTGTCATTTGATCAACGTACTGTATCATGTTTATGTATGTATTGAGCTACTTGGATAAAATGATATTCATTATATGATTCATGATATAAATCTTATGTAATATATTTCTATTTAATGTAGTTTGTTATAAGCCCAAAGAGCTTGAACAAGGAGATAAAACTACAGATACCGATTGTACTAGCCACTTATCCGCTCAGGCAGGAAGGAGCACCGGCAGGTACAGCGCCTTCTAAACGAGGAGCTCATTATCCCTCAACGCTGCCAATTTTTAGACCATGGCTCGATGACAAAGCTTTTGAGATACAGGAATGAATGTATTAAATGTATGTTAATGTTATTCATTCCTTTGCCCTCTTTTTTTCTTTTCTTTGTGTCCAATTTGAAATCATGGATGCAAAGCAAATGTTATCAAAATGTGTGCAATAACCAAAATACGATGATTCTGATTTCTTCTAGACGTTTGAGATATCGAAGAAGATGAAATACGCTTATAATAATGCTTCGTAATCTTACCTTTGAAAGACCTGAATTATCCAATTAATATTTCTTGATTCAAACATTGGATTTATTCTAATGGAATACTCAAGATCTTAATGAAATAGTTAACTAATTTTATTGAATATTTAATTGCAAAATCCTACTAAAGATGTTTTATATATTAATACATTTTTAATATTTTAAATACTTAAGATAGTATTAGGGATAAAAATCCGTCCATTTTCAAATTTCGAATAAAATAGATTAAGATATTTTTTAAATTGCCTTATATTTTATGTACAGCAGATATGAATTATATTGAGAATAGAAGTGATGAAAGAAAAATAATATAATAAAAAATGTTGACAAATCAAGTTCTAACATTGATTAATTATCAATTTCCTTTTTAAACCTTTGCAGCGCTTCATCTACTGTAATCCCAGTCGCAGTGATTACTTTTTGCCTACCTTTGGATCCCTTAAAAAAAATAAATTACATAATATATATATATACATATATACATATACAGAACAAAGAAATAACTTAGAAAAAAAAATGATCAATTACTAACTCGATCCAACATTACATCGGATTTTCTTAAACCTAATACAGAGGCTAAATATTTAATCAGTTCAGTATTTGCTTCACCTTGTACAGGAGGTGCAGATATTGCAACACCTACAGCTTCTTCTGAAATATCTGTTATATACAATTAATAATGTTAAGAATGAAAGTCTTAAATTTATGATGATTATCCAGGGATAAACATATTTGAAGATCGGATATCTTTATAGGAGGTATACAAGGTAACAGGAGTCTAACTGTTAGTGAATTTATGTTTTACAACTAGGAGTAAAGAGTCTTATTTAATACTTCCTATTTCTTGTATATCTTTATCTTAATTAATTGATTCACGTAAATAATCTCCTTTGAAGACATCCAAATAATTTAATTTAATTAATTGTAAGACCCAAGTCATTTAATTGATCTGACTTTATATTTATTACCTGTAATACCGTTATGTTTAGCTCCAGGTTTCGCTTGAATTTTTATTTGTATTTTTCCATCTTTATTAACAGTTATAGGCCCTGTGGTTATCTGTTTAAATACGAAAAAGAAAAAGAAGATGTTATAAAATTTCTTAATTGACAAGTTAAATTATATTTATAATTACAACGCGTCTCAGTGCGGAAGTACAATTATGCGTGAGATTACGCGAGCGACATCTGGTAAAATTAGTTTACTTTCGCTCAAGTTGGCGGGTGCATTCACAGAAAATGTTATGTTATTGTCATAATAGGTGATCAATTCTCTATCAGAGTTCATTATCCTGATTTCTTTGTGTTAAATTGGTAAGCAAGGAACAATTTACCGTATTATTTATATCGCCAATCTGAGCTTTTTTAGTTTTCTTGCCACCTTGTTTCGACATTTCTCGGTTAACAATCACGTATCGTAGAAATTTATTCATTTAGATAATTTCATAATAAAATTTAATTGAACGTTCGTTAATTCATTGATACGTTATATTTGATTATTAAGAAAATATTGCTATTCGATATTATACGTTCTCTAACCTCAACAACTTTAGTGACTGCAATCTGCGCGTGTTACAGTATTGCCAACCTATCAACGATTGAATCCTTTTACCCGCGTAATTTCAAACGTAATAATATTTCTCTTTTCTTATTAGATCATCATGCCTAAGAAATTCGTCGGTGAGAATAGTAAGGCTGTAGCAGCCAGGGCAAGAAAAGCTGCTGCTAAGGAAGCTGAAAATACAAAGAAAGCTTTGGAAGCTGAAGAGAAAGCTTGGCAGGATGACGACAAACAAGTATTAAAGAAGAAACAGAAACAGGTATGTGTTTTGATAATGTTACATTCTATATTAAAAGAAATAATTGTCAATATTTATTGTGTTTACATAAAAGATACAAATGTCTATAATAATTATGCGATATTGTATCGATTTTGATACAGGAGGAACTCGAGAAGAAAAGACAGCAACAATTAGAAAAGAAGGCTGAAGTGAAAGCTCTATTAGAAAAAGAAATGGCAACTATAAAAGTAGGAGGCAAACAACCTACTGCTAAAATTACAAAAGCTGAAATAATGGCAGCTATGGAGAAGCGCAATCAAGCTGCGAAAAGTGAGAAGAAAAAGGAGGAAGAAAAACCAATCGAAGAAAATTTGAATAGGATTATTGTCGAAGGCGAAAGTGCACATGGTATAGACGAAGCTTTATCGATTTTAAGGTGAATATTGGAAATTTATAATTTACGATACCGTTAATGTTTTTTTTTCTTTTTTTTTTTTTATTTCTTTATTTACGTATATACTATGCTAAATTATTTTTATATTTTTATAGCGTGAAAGATTCGGAAGTTGATCGTCATCCCGAGAAACGTATGAAAGCTGCTTATGCAAGTTTTGAAGAGAAAATGATGCCTATTATTAAGGAACAAAATCCTACTTTGAGGCTCAGTCAATTGAAACAGATTTTGAAAAAAGAGTGGATGAAATCTCCTGAAAATCCGCTCAATCAAAAGCTTTTTAACAATTGATATTAGTGGTATATTCATTGATAGTCTGCGCACTTTCACATGACTGAATATAACTTTCTTATCTTAAATGTTTGAAAAAAAAAAGAAAAAAAGAAAAAAAGAAAAAAAAAAGAAGTAATATGTGTAAGTATAACAGATAAAATTGGTTCACAGTTTTATTGTAAACGAATAAGTTATATTCCAAAATGCTATAGGATATAAAAAAAATTAACATAATATAAAACATCTTTGGTGCAACTTATGCGCGAATCTATAATAGCCTCCGTTCGGTATCTTAAATCTTTGCTTATTGACAGAGAGACCTTTGTCGAAGTTTATAGAAAGATTCTAAAAAAATATCTTAAAAAATATATGTTTTGGCACATTTATCATGCTGTAGGTGTAGAAGATATTTTTACAATTTCGCAATTGTCGTATCATTCAATGGAAAGTAATAAAACCATCACAAAGTAGAGCTCGAAAAAGAGAAGTTTTAGTTTTATCAAGAATCTGTCCTCTTATACAGACTTAAGATTTCTTTAAAAATGTAAAATCAGCTATAATAAAACTAATAACGCACGCGAAACTTTTCTATGTATGTATGTATGTATCTATGTACACTTTAAATATTTAATCAAAGGAAAAATTATAAAAAGGGAAAGAGGACTATTAACATATTTTTTTATCTAATTTTTATCTAATTTTTTATCTAATTTTGTATCTAACTACGAGCTTGATACCCGTAAGAGAACTTGATGTTTCAGTACGATCATTGCTTATTCGAGATTATATCCTCTGCTGGAATTAACAATATCGAAATACTAATATTGCTACCAGTTCTTATTCTTCCATAAATCTATGAAACAGTGAATCATATGATTCAGTTGATCAGGACAATCCGTCATGGGTGTGTGCCCTGCACTTGGAATAGCTTCGAGGAAAGCCTTCAGCATAGTCTAAAAAGGAAAAAAAAAAAAAACAAAAACAAACAAACAAGTGGAAGAAAGAAGTATAGAATAGAAGACGTATTTCAATAGATGTATTAACTAACCCTTTCCATCTGACACTCTTGTACAAGTGATACTTTGTTATCTCTCAATCCATGTATAAGAAGAGTAGGTGTAAAAATTCTTCTATGAAAAACGTAGTCCCCTTCAGGCCAAGCCATCCCATCCAAAACATATTTCATATGAGATGGCCATTGTTCGACTGGTTCAGGACCACAATAAGGATGTTGACGACCTCTTGCAGAATACAGTATATCTCTATGAAGGCCGCACATCAAAAGTGGTGACAAAATAGCTCTTAGAAAGCATCGGCCAGCACCTTCTCTCGTAGGCGGTGCCAGTGGTGTTGGACCACCACCGGATATTAAAACAAGCTGATGAATATTGCTGTCATATTTGCAAGCCAATGCTGTTGCAAAACTGCATCTATAAAAGAAACACCATCGCCATCGCCATTGCCATCGCCATCGCCGCCACCGCCGCCACCGCCACCGCCGCCACCAACGACGACGATGACGACGACAACGACGACGAAGACAACGACGACGATGATGATGATAATGATGAAAAGAAGAAATTTCTTATTGCGTTAAACATTAATTCCAATAGCCCACGAAGTAGTCAAGCAAAAATTATTCAAACGTTACACACGTGTAGGTAGTAATTACCTAGCTAGCCATGAACGGTTTAAAAAGAAAGTCCACGATGTTCTTTGAATTATGATACTATCTATTATAAATATTAAACGCGTATGTATGTGTATATATATATATACAGGAATATTTGTTAAAAAAATTTACCCATAATTATGCGCTATCAGTATACACTTTTGACCTGGTTCAAAAGCGTAATAATGTAGTACTGTCTCCAGATCCTTCAACAATTTGCTAAATGTATAATCCTTCGATCGGTCAGGTGACGAGCTCATACCATGTCCTAAAAGATCAGGAGCGATGCAAGGATAACCCATAGCCGAAAAATATTCTAATTGATGTTCGAATATCTCTGCTGACGAACCAAACCCATGTAAAAAGACCAATGTTGGTTTACGATTTCTTCGAAATATCACATAATCATGTGGAATTTGTTCGCAATTAGACAATCTCGTAGATTCTTCCAAGTTAGGCCATCTTTTTCTATAATCCTCCATTTCCAAAGGTTTAGTTTCTTTTCTAGTATTAATTACCTCTAATCGTTCATCATCGTTCTTACGTTTCGATCTTCTTTCAATATTCGCACGAAATCTTGCACAAAATTTCGTCTCTATCGTTGTCTCCTTTCTCTCTGATAATTCCAAATCATCGTTTTCTAATTCTAATCGTACATTTTCAAATTTAGGATCATCGATAGATTCCTCTAATTGTCTGATATCCATTATAGTTTTTTCGTCATTAATTTCATTGTCATTTAATATGATTACATCCTTTAATTTTGTTAACTTATTTTCTTCATCATTTTCAATGATCTCTCGGGAAGATTCGTTATATTTCTCATCTTCGTTAGTTCTCAGATCTTCCCAGCTATTTCTCAAAGGGGTTCTACCTAATTTTTCGTCGATTATTCGTAAGAGAGATTGCTCGAGACTTGGTTCTTGATCAGGTTGAAATTCTATTGTTTCGACGCTGTTTATACCGGAATCTATACAATCCAATTGTTCTAAAATGACCTCCGTACCGATCGTACGAGTACGTAAATAAAAGTCGAGAGAATCAGGATCGTGTGCCGAACCAATGAAAGCACGATTTATATATCCTTGATCGTTTTTCGTTCTTTCCACGTTCAACTTTTCATCTTCCTGAATCTTCTTATCGTCAGCATGAAAGGAAAAACTAATTTCATTAAAAATTTCTTCCCCTTTAGCTTTCGAAGACGATTGTTGATGATCTAATTTTGATCTTTCTTTCGTAATTTTATGATCGTTTTTAAGAATCAAATTTGAATCATTCGAATTAGCGACATATTTAATCGTATCGTCTAATATTTCTTCGAGCAATACATTGATGTATCTTTCGAGATCCTTAACTATTTTATTCTTAGCTTTTTGTTCCTCGTTTGACGAGGAGTTTAAAGATAGATTTTTCGAAGGATCAAGTACAACTTTGTCCTTTGTTTTTTTCTCATTATTATTATCAAGTTTCGCGTCGGGTATTTGCAATTTTTGAAGATTAGCCGATACCCTTTGCTCAAGTTCTTCGATATCTCTTGCTGATTTTTCAGGAGTCTCGTAAAGACTATTTCTAATACGATTCAATTCCGTAGAAATAATTTCTTCATCGTTCGTACTCAATCTATTAGATTGACGAAAAGAACATCTACAATGATTCGACGAATGCGGTCTTTTCGACCAACGAGCAAAAAAATTATCATTTATCGATTCGGGCCTATCACTCGTGTTCTCGTAATACCATTCACCTTTTAAACTTGGTTTTAATACTCTCAAAGTTCTACGTGGTGCTACGATGAAAAAATCACAATCTTCTAATTCTACCGTAGCCGGACCAATTCGATTACGATTTTTCCAATATTCGAAAAATTTCACATACCATCTTGGCTCGATAGTTTGCTCTTTCGTACTCATTTCGAATGATTTTCAAATCGTTAAGATCATTGTGTTTGATCGACGATTAACATAATCGAATTTATTTATTTGATTTGAGGACCAAATTTGGACACTAATCGAATCATTCGTACATCCTTAATAATTCATTAATATATTCCTATTACGTTGAACGAATAGCTTATCCAATTGGAGAAGAGAATTTTTATTCCTAAATGGTATTCGAAATTCTCTTTGCTATTTATGTATATAAGATGATATGTATCTTTTAGGCTCTTCCGTTCCTTTGTTTAGAACTTTGATTATTATTATTATTGTTATCGCTATTACACAAGTAAGAGATGTTTTCGCAAGAAACAAGTTTACACAACTTTTCTACGAAGAATAAGTTGCAGTTGTTCATTCGGAAAAAGAAACTTCTTCGTATGAAAGTTTTTCGTATGAAATTTCTTGTCCTTTATCTTCGTCTTCTAATCTAAAGAAAAAGATAAAAAAAAGCGGATTATTATCATTCTTTTTATTTTTCTATTAGTAAATAGTCAATTTGAAAGATAAAAGTAATATATATATATATATATATATATATATATTATATATGTATATTAAGTATATAAGTATATAAGTAATATATACATATATATATATATATATATTATATATGTATATTAAGTATATAAGTATATAAGTAATATATATATATATATATATATATATATATTATTCTATCTCCATTTCACACATATAAACACAAACACGCACACACACATACAGAGATATTTGCGGTAAAATAATTAATGTAAATGAATGGATAATCGTTTGAGCGTATCTTAACGTTTAGTAATTTCTTACAAAGAATCGTCGACTCATCGATATAAATGATAGTCTTTTGTGTATAATAGACATCAAATATTTCTTACGTTATTTCATTTTCCATCATTCTAACAAGTTATAAAAGTAATTCACGTAACTTGTTTATATGAAAAATAATACTCAAGCATGTATCGTGTGTGAAAAGTGTCATTCATATTTGTATCGTATATAATATAATATTAACGTATGTATTTTTCTTTGTCTGAAAAGTAATACCGATACATGTGCATATTTGTGTATTTAAGATTAAGCTTGTAACATGTGTGCGTAATATGTATGTGTATTTGAATCTATGTGAAAGAAAGTAAAAAATATCGATAAATTACAGAGCGAGTGAGTGTTACCTAGCGATAAGTTTGAAATACGAGAATATTGAGATTTATGTGATTTATATTTCGTGTTAATTAATTGAGAAAGTATTTATAATAATTTCATTTCTTTTTTTTTTTTAATAATAATTATTTCTATGTAAATTAATCATATTTAGATATCGATTACAGTTTTTTTTTCTTTTTTTTTTTTTTTTAAATTATTGAATGATGATTTTCTTTTTAATTATCGATCTTTTCCATGTCAATTAATTATTTCGTTTTACTTTCTTGAATAATTTTGTTTATTGAATATCTTTCTTTCTTTCTTTTTTTTTTTTTTTTTTTTCTATTCAGTGATTTCTCTCTATTTCAAGTC